AAACTGGGAGGAGACAGCACGGAGACAGATTGACCGGCAGGAAACCCAGACTTCGTCCAAGTCCACTCTCTAGACCCGATTGTGGTGGACCGCGCAGCGCAGAGTGTATGGGCAACCACTTTTATGGTGAGTTTTTCAGATTTTCAGCATGGTAGATGTAAATGTTTTATTTCCCTCTAGAGGTCCATATAGCCATGAGCATTTTAGGAGAGCAATATAAAGGGGAACGAGAAACGCTAACACTGTTGGTTGTTAATTAACTTGATCCAAGGGTTTAATCGTGAAAATTAACTTGTGGTTTTTCCAATGCTTTCGCTGTGAAAATTAACTGCTTCGGGAAATAAATATCGGAATGCATAGATCTTTTTTTCCCTTAAGTATAAATTGTTTCGAGTGTGTGATGCAAAGGCCGTAGCATAATCAACTGGAGATGATTGCTAGCATATTCTTCTTTAAGCAATAACGCTAGGGTAAGCATTTGCCCATGATCATAAAGGCCTTGTGCATTTTGGCATGTCAGTTGGCAATTCTCTTGAAAGCCATGTTTTTAAACTTGGACCGGACTGCTTGTCCAACCGATCGAATCGGAAATTGATCAAGTGCTCGATCCCAGTTATCTTAAAAACTCGGGTTGGTAGAAACTCGATCAAACCAGATCAAAAATTGGGTTTGACCAGAAATTGGAAGAACCGGTAAAAATCAAGTTTTCTTATTTTTCCTTTTTGTTGAATCTTTTTTCCTTCCTTACCTCTAACTCCAAATCCTTGCGAGCTCTCCTCTTCTTTGCAATTCCATTTTCACTCTTTCATTTCAATTCAACCATCAAATCAATACTTTAACCTTTCTTTTCTAAACAAAATCTAATCTTAGATCTTGTATTCAAAAGAAGAATAGACCAAAAAATGCAAAAAAGGGAGTGGAGAAGAAAAAGTACGAAGAAAACGGATAAAAACTTGATATTTCATCAGTTTGAGAATAAATAACTAATAAAATAAGAATGAAAATAAAATTTAAAGAAGAAGAAGAAGAAGAAGAAGAAAGGAACTGCAGAATGGAATGTGTTTGGAGGAAGAGGAAGTAGTTGTGCTCTATGGAATGCGCCAGGAGTAGAGGCAGAAATGGGAAAGTGTGATGTGGGGTCAAAGCATTTTCAATATTATGTTTTGACCCGTAAGTTGTTAAAAATTATTAATATATCTCAAATATTTCATGCTTTCTAAATGTTGTCTTAAAGTTTGGTATTATTTTTCAAACAAGTCCATAATTTTAAGGGTGTAGCTAAAGCCACACCGTCTAGGCGTCTAGTCTAAATCCATACCTTTTACACCAAAATGTCTATAAAGCCCATACTATTTATCAGGATTTCATAGGAATTTTTTCAATACCAAAACTAACCTTTTGTGGTGGGAAAAGATGGTGCCAATTAAGTTTATTTTTCCCCCCACTCAATTGCATTCTTTCATCATCCCTATTCCTTACCTTTTGATATTCTAACCGCACTTTCCTACAAGTATATAGGGTCGATCGTAGTAATAGAATCGTCTGGAGTATTCTAGGGGTCAAACCCAAGAGACGAGTTAATTTTCCTTCTTTAATTACTATGATAAAAGAAATTAGAAGGGTGAAGAACTTAGAGAGAAAACTTGATCATTTCAAATAAACCAAAAAAGGTGGGGTGAAAGTTCTATGACTATTTGAGCTTCAACTTCATCCCTTCTTTTCTTTTTTTTTTTTTGTTTATTTATCTCTTTTTTCAATATGAGTTCAGAAATCTAATAATTCTTTTTCGTAAAACATTTTCATAAAACTAAGAACAAAAGTGTGGCTAACTTAGAGGAAAGGGATGGGTTGGATGGCTCGGAGAGACGGAGTGTAAATAAGAGATCCTGAATTCAAAATCTTTCACTTACACTTTAAAAAAAAGGGTAAAATACATAAAACTCCCCTGTGGTTAAGGAAATTGACACGAAACCTCCTCATTGTTTAGAAACTCCCACTTAACCCCCCTGTGCTTTGGACTTGTTTGGATTTTACCTGCTAACTGGCTGGGGAGCTAGCGAGTGATATTTACGCGACTTAATGGTAACTTGTGTCTAGCAGAAACTCATTTCATTCCAATTTTGTCCTCCATGTCTCTTCCAAGCTTGCACCCACCATAGTTGTAGATCTGCAAATGAAAAATTTCGACAGAGATGCAAAACGAAGACCCAAAGTTTGGACGGGAAGGGCCAAAGATGCAAAACGGAAGAAGGTAACTGTATTGCTGAGCGATGCGAGTTATTACTGGGCAGCTGGAGGAGCAAACAGTTGTAAATCAAAAGTCGCACCATATTAAAACTTCATAAATAGTCTAAGGATTAGTTAGCAAATTTTCCAAGCCTGTAAAAATAGCAAAAACCACGTCTACTGCTTCCCAATCTGAAACCGCAACCCAGAAAATGCAGAAAATCAAAGCCAAGGACAAAACGGGAACCACGTCTACTGCTTCCTCCACGAACCCCAAAGCCGAAACCCTTTTTAGCAACCCTCTCAGCCCTACCTGGGCCGTCCTTGATTAAGCACTTAGCCTCTTGCAACGCCTCAATCAAATCCCAATCCCTCAAGCTAATTCAAGCTTGGCTGTCAGACTCTCAAACCGAACTTCCCGAGGATGATATGAAAAGGCTGTGGAAGGGGCTTTTCTATTGCCTTTGGCATTCGGATAAAGCTCCTGCTCAAGGTTTACTCATCAACCGTTTGTCTTCCTTGCTAATTACGCTTGACCCTTTGCTTTCTTTGCAGTATTTTGGCTGTTTTTTGGTAACTCTTCGTCGTGAATGGACCGGCAAAGATTCTTCCCTTTGCTTTCATTCTCATGTCTATGGTGCCGCTGCCGGTGGCCTATGCGATGGAACAGGCCATTCCTCATGCTGATTTGGGGGATCTTGATCTGGACTTGCATTTGGGTCAACCGGGGATTGAAGTCCCACGGCATCCAGAGATTGACTGGGATGGATTGCAAGAAACCCTTTCCCAAAATTTCCAACTCCACCACTTTTCCGTGCCTCGCTTTCCTACTCCGCCGCTGGTGGAAATCCAAGAACACTTATTTCTGGAAAATAGAAATCTTCCAGAGAACCTAAGGCGTCCCCTGTCCGAGGCTGAAGAACTACTTCAGCTGAAAGACCGAATAATCCAAACTATGTCCAAGGTAGAGAATAACCCGGTTTCTCTCTCAGTTTCTTTCATCCGCTCCAGATTGACTCATTGCATCTGTAACTTTTCACATATTATATATGAGGGTATTTTTGGTATTTCATATTATTACCGGCTCCCCAGCCGGTTAGCAGGTAAAATCCAAACAAGTCCAAAGCACAGGAGGGTTAAGTGGGAGTTTCTAAACAATGAGGAGGTTTCGTGTCAATTTCCTTAACCACGTGGGGGTTTTATGTATTTTACCCTAAAAAAAAATGTGTGGTTAACTTTGTGCTACTATTTTTCTTTTTTTTTTCTTTTTTTTTGGTCTAAAAGATGCGGTATACTGTTTAAGTTCCTAAAGTGACTTATTTTTATACTTCCTAAATTTCTTTTTACTACAAACAGATGGTAGGTTTCCAAATTCTAAACCGAAATAAAACAAGAGCATTAAGCCTCACAAAACCAAAAAACAAAAGACCATTACAAACTTAGAACTCTTTATCCTCATAAAATGACAAATTGAAAGGAAAAGTACAATTTATTTTAAAAGAAGGCATAGAGTAATAAATTTTAAAGACTTGTAGAAAAATAAAATTTCAAAATATAAATAATAAATTCAATAAAAATGGCAAAACAAGCAAATCATATATGATATTCTAATTTTCTTAATTAAACAAATTATATGCCCTCGGTTTACTAGGTTTATTTTTAGGAAAAATGTTAGACGTGTCATTTAGCATGTGAATCCCATAAAATAGCTTTCCAAAATATGAAATAATTAATGCATTCATTAAGCAAGTTGTTTTTTTATCCATATTAGTGGATGTCCAATGAACACTTGTTAGAAAATCTCGTAATTTATGAAATCATTCTCAACCACTACGATTGTTAATGTCTATATCGTGTCCACATTCATTATCTCAATGTCTACATTCATTATGGCTTATGTCCTCATTCTTTGCATTCATATTAGACCATTGATGAAGATTGACATCCCTAAATTGTATGGTTACCTTCGATAGATTAGCCTTTCCAATTTTTGCTCACATTACAAATATAAGCATTTTATAATTTATATACTTTTTGTTTATGTTTTAATACTTGTATTCTTAAGATATACTTTGTATATCGCTTCTTCCTAATCTCTATTTTTTCTTTTGTCCAAAACTTTAATACAGTTACCAGCGAACCATACAGAATACATAAAGGTGCACATTTAAAACTACAAAATACGGGTATAAAGTTTTAACAATTAGAAAATGCTATCAACCTAAAAGAAACTCATAATTGGCCAGGTGTTTGTTACTATCATAAAGTGGAAATCTTTTAGTTAATTATCCGTTTTAATGTATTATAAGCGAAATGAGATCAAATATCTAGTAATTTAAACTACATTTTCGAATATTGAAATCGGAAATAGAGGAGCAAATTTAAATGATTTTTCTATGTGCTTAACAAAAAAAAGTGGAGCCAATTCGAGTAATAGCTTGTTGAAGGATGACTTTAAAGAGTTTAATTGACTCGGTGCTCACACAAAGCATGCAATTTTTTTTTTTTTTTTTCGACATAGGGGTATCCGGGTCAATCCTTACAGGGCCCGACTAATCTCCTGCGGCCCGGGCTCGACGCTCCAACCCAGCCCGAACACGTTAAGTGCGCGGACACAAAGCATGCAATTAGTCTAGTGAAGAAGTGAGCTACTTTAGATACTCAAAAGGCTTTTAGAAGATTAAAATTTGAATAGTAATGACGTGATATTCATCTAAACCTACTTGTATATGAAAAAAAAAATTTACATTGGTAAGAGATTAAAGTTCATCTGATCAAGAACCTGAATCTTTGCTATAGCTTTAATCCAATCATTCAGAAATTCAACTGTTAAAAGCAAGTGCCTCACTATGATCTTTCGCAACGTGTAAACCCTCCAAACACTGAACAACTTCCTTCATGTTTGGCCGTTTGTCCCATTGAATACAGCGCATTGCTAGATCTGTAATTTTTGGTCCGTCCCGCTCATCAAAATTAGGATCATTCTCAAAGGTTGCATTAACAAGTGAACCTTGTGGCTTTCTACTGAAGAATGACTTCTTTGGCATATAAGCTTCCCGTGCCCAGAGATCCACTGAAGTCTCGCCTGGCCTTTCCTTGTCTGCAACTCTTTTGGCTATTAAACTCAGAAGTATAACACCATATCCATACACATCACAATCTAGACATGTCTCTGAACCTGTCAAGCAATTCCAGGGAATTTGGGAAAGGAAGACAAGAAACATTTTATGTCAGTGGATTGAATTGGCAAGCATTCGGCAGCAGGACGAGATGAGACTTGTAACCAAAATGAAGATAACGTATTTAACTAGTCAATTCGTCAGAAACAATCCTGAGAACAGGGTTTGCGTACCAGCATTAGATGATTGTCTAAGAACGGCTCCCCTTAACCTCCTTTTCCACAAAGTTGACATATCACTCACAACACCATCACTCAGTGGTACAAATTCAAATAGAAGGGGGTTATAGTCCTAAACACCAAATGATGAACGATAACGGTGAAAATTTGAGAAACATGCATAAAACATACGAAAGCACAACAAATATTGCACAACAGACACACAAATACGAACCTGATCAATCATTACTTGGGTCGCATCAATCTTACGAACCAAATATTCTGCACCATTGTCGGTCAAAAACTCTAGCAAGCGCGCAAATCCTAGAGCAACCTTAATTCTTTGTAGCCAACCGAAGTCATCTGGAATAGCAAAGTCATTAAGATGGGAGGAGGGCAGCTGCAATCCCAAACAGTTTACTTCTTCTACCTCAACAACAGTTAAGACGTTTTGGAAGCTAAAGAAACAAGTCAGAAAAAATAAATTTGGAACACTAGCTCATATACATTTTGTATGAAAGAGCTGCCAATTTCTATGGGAGGGAATTTAAGTTAACGGAAGCAGCAAATCATCTCTAATACTGGATCAGTAAGCACCTTGAACCAGCAGATTTTGCAATATATCCCGCGGATTCAGGTCGTAAACAACTCCCAGAGGCTCTTCCTGGTCACTATACCCTATCAAATTCACCAAATTGGGATGACTCCTCATTCTTGGCTGCTGCAATACACGTACTTCGTCCTACATCCAAAAAATGAATTTTTCCAATTACAGAAAAATGGAAAATGCAGAGGAAGCTCGAAAAAAAAGGGCTGCAAAGACTAAATGGACAACAACAGGAAATCAGGAAACAAACCTTCAATCTGGAGCACTTATCAATTCCATCGATGTACAAACTTTTTTGGTTCTTCCATATCTTCACAATCACCTCCTTTGTCTGTCCTACCTCTGGGACATTGATGATCTTGCCTCGAAATAACATACCAAACATTGTTTGACCCAAAAAATTTTCTTCGCTAAATCCGGCTGTATAGTGATTCAATTGCTCATTTGTGAGTTCCAAAAGGTCAGATTTCCCAGCCTCTGCCATCTCTGTCATCTGCATATATCCAACTCAACAAGTCAAATATGGTGCTAGTCGGCAGCAAGAATGGCGGCATTCATACATGTCTCTTACCAAAATGAAAAACTCCAACAATTATATTGTACCACACTAGGTACAGTTGGGTATCAAAATATCCCAGGATAAAAAAGATCCCGGAAACAAATTCTTGTCCCAAAAAGTTAGTTTCTTTTTTTATTTTCCTGTCAACGCAATATGAAAATCTCAACTTGGGCCCACTAATTCATTTTCTTTTTCTTTTTCTTTTTCTTTCCATCAATGGATATAACACATGCAACATTCTCAATCTATCAAAAGTAATTTCACAATAAACTAGTCACATATTCATAAAAGAACATGTAATTCTAACAAAGAAACATGACTGCATATGCCAAAAGAAATCAAACAAAGATAATATAGCAGTCACGCAAACACCTCCATTCAACCGGTTGTTGTGAGAAGTACAACCATGTTGAACTATTTTGTTATGTTAAACAGCCATGAGAAGTATATAAATGCTAGCACAACCAAGAGGTACTCCAAAATGGAAAAAAAATCTGCATTGCATATTCTAATGCAATAATTTTCAACAATTAAGTTTCTTTCTATCCATTGTGAGAGCATTAGCTTATCACTCATGAATCATGATAAAGGATCTGTTCCAAGCTTTTCTTTCATTTATCTAAATTTGAGTTCTAACTGAGGACATGCAACCAACATGAGAAAACAACTAATTTAAAATCAGAATAGCTATAAACACATAAAACACTACTGCAGGTGGCCGGCTTACAAGATTAGAGGTTCTGAATGCCTAATTTTTTTTTAAAGTTAATTCTCATGATATGATCATCACAAACATAAAAACATTCCTATAGCAATTAGAAGTGATACCAATAACCAAAAACTTATCTTTTCTATGATAATCAATCATTACTCAACTTGAAGTCTGTGAATCCTTTTACGCGCAATAAAGTAATCTGTTTGCGCGTTCACAGTTTGGTTGCACGGCCAATAGTGTTGAAATCTTAAGAATCCACTTTGAAAAGAAAGTACATTGGCTTCCTTAAGTTTTTAAATGGAGGCAGCCCCCAATCTTTGAGGTTGAAATCCGGTAGGGAACTCAGAACCTGATCAGCAATTTCATGATATAAGTTGTCCAACCTAGGATCAGGAACCATAACAACAGACATCCCAGCATTTTTAGCTTTTACGACCAACAAAAAAAAAAAAAATCACAGCTTATTCAGAAACCATAATTTCTTCTATAATGCATCTATGAATGCATATTGTCTGCATATTCTTTAGAATACCAGCCCTTGTCTGTGTATTAAAAACTTGCAGAATTACCAACTAACCAAATGGAAACACCAATACGAATGGAAAATCTTACTTGAATGTTGGTGTTGCTCGACTGTTAATCAAACCTAAAAAAACAGCATAAGATTTCTGTTAGTTATTAACAATTTGCTTGAATTGAAAAAAAAAAAAAACAATGAGAAGTAAGGTTAGAAGGATTAACACATATGATGATGGCTAAGATTTGAGAGGGTGTAGGTTATCGCAGCAACGCAGAGGGATGGGAAAATTGCTATGCATCAAAGGGATGGAGGGAGAGAGAGCAATCCAGTTTTCTTATTTCCTATGCTCTAAGTGTTCTTATCACTGATCCTCACGCCAAAAAAAAAAAAAGGTGTACAATTTAGGGGAATTGACACGTAAACAGAAATTGACCCAAAATTAATCCAAACAAATATTGATACGTAAGCCTAAAAAAGATCAAAAACAGTAAAAAGAACAACGAGGGTGGGAAATAAACGAGGGTTTTGATTAGGACAAAAAAGTTTTTACTGTTTTTTCTCACCCTCTGCCCCACTCTAGGGTTTTGATTAGGACAAAAAAGATAAACGAGGGTGAGACCCCTGGGCTAGCTGTAGACGGTGGTAGGCCGTAGATGGGGAAGAAGAGAGCGGAGAAGAGGCGTCAAGAGGAAACCCACCTTCAAAAAAATGTCGACGGTGAAGAGCGAACAGGAGGAGGGAAAATAGGACTACAGCAGCCGCCTGTCTTGAGTATGAGAAAATTCCAAATTTATGATGAATTTCAAAAAATTTCTACAAAGGGGGCATTTTTAGTATGGAATTCTGTCCAATGGATCTTTGCATTCAGCAAATGCGAAACTCCTCAATGCGAAGTTACTCTGAATATTTAGACCCACAAAGTCCAAAAAAATAAATAAATAAAAAACCAGACCTCGCAAATTTGGTAGTTGCTCAAAAGAGTGGAACTTTGAAAGGAACTTTTGTGGAAGCCATTTTTCTAAACGTGAGCTGTAAATTTTTTTTTTTTTTATGTTAGTGCTAAACGCGAAGTCACGTGACTTATCAAAACGCGACTTAGCAAAAGTCGCGTTTTCTCCACTTGCATTGCTAAGTCGCGTTTTCTTCACTTTCCTTGCTAAGTCGCGATTAGCACTCCAATCGAGGCTAATTTGGTTTTGGGCTTAGTCTTGATTGATTATTTTATCTGCAAGGACTATATTTTGATTTTGAATAATTAAATTTTGTAGTGTTGTCGTACAACTTTTTATGTTCAAATTATAGATTTTTTTCACAAATCTATAATTAAAAAGAAAAAGGATTTATTCCTCTATGATAAATGTCAATTCAAAAACAAAAATGATTGTGAGCTCCTAAATCGGATTCCCATGCTATCTAAGTAAATCCCTATTGTTAAGCAAGTTATTGTCTATCTAGGCATACTTAGATAGCATGGGAAGTGGTTGAATTTAAAAGGGATTTACAACACGCACGAATCCGATTATGGGATTAGGTCATATTAGTACTCAGTATGTGAAATTCAAGATCAATGGATGATAACCTAAAAATTCATTCTCCGTAATTTTATAAAATAAAAAGCAAAACCCACACTCAACAGAAAAACAAAAACAATTTGCTTGAATTTATATATAAAAAAAAATGATGAGCTTGAATTTATTAATATTAAAAAATCAAAAGGTTTCAAATCTCGCGTATGTTAAATGCGAGGTCTGAAGCAATTGTTTTTTTTTAGATTTTTGCAAAATCAGAAATTCAATAATAAATCGCATTCGGCAAATGCGAATGACGTGCGCGGGGTATACATATACAATTAACTCATTCACAATCAAGTTTTACATTTATAAACTCCTAAATACCCCACACGCGATTTATCGCAAGTATACGAATCATGAGCGAGTATAGGGTATTAAGGGTCGATCCCACAGGGAAGATTGCAATTACCGGTGATTTTCGAACTCCTTTATTATCTAGACTACCATAAATATAAAAGTAATGAAAATTAATACTAGAAAACTCCTAGAGATATGGAATTCCTTACTACTCTTGCAAGTGAAATTACCGGTTAAGTTAATGCTATTATCTTGACTAGTTATGGCGTAATTTCCTATTGTATGTGAAACCTACTCTCGTAGTGAATCAACTATACTTGTAATTAAGCCATACCTACTCTCGTGGTTATGAAATTAACTACAAGTTCATTTCTTCTATGAAATTACATGAAACAAGTCACTTAAACCACATAGGTGCACCTCTACTTTCGTGAGTGCACTCCCTATGTTTATCACTTCCTTGAACTAGTGTTAAATTCCAATTCTTATTGCAAATTTAACACCTTAGATAATCACAATTAATGGCCAGTTAATTATGATTAGAATATCAAAAGTGATAAATAACTTGCTCAAAATAATATCACCAAATAACCAAATAAACATCACTAACAAAATATAGAAAGTTCATCCATACTCTAGGCATTAACTTTAGAAATACATAATAAACATAAAATCCAAAACTTGTATATTAACCATACTTAAGAATCTAATACAAAAGATAAAGAGTTGGAGAAGAGATAACCCATGTCACTTGAGTTTCAACTCCTTCTTCTTCATCTCCATCTTCATCCTAATTTAGCTAATATACAGGAAGGATGAACTAACTAGCTAAACTATCCTACACTAAGGAAATGAAGAACTACATTTTTGTGGTAATTCTTGCACTCTCCAAGCTCCTGCAAAAATTGCTAGCCCCAGAGAATATGACCAGCCTCAGTTTTTATCCTAAAATTCTGATATTCTCCCTTCACCTACCGTATTTTTCTTCTCCCCTTTGATTCTCTAAATCTGGTGTTAACCAAGTCAACAAAACAAAGTTCTAACCTCTTGATTCTATCGTATATTTTTTACTTGACAATAAGCTATTTTTCTTTCTTTGTGCATCAGAAACATGTGCAACCTACGTTTTCTCTCCAACTCTAGCTGGAAAGTAGTGTGAAGATGAGAAAAATGGCTGAGCAAATTGCAGAAATTTGGCTGCCATACGCGTTTTTACTTTTGACCTCAATTCAACTGCAATTTTCTCTATGATAGCCACCGAACTGGCTGTTATGAAAATACAAAAGTTGTAGCCCTTTGAATTAGCGTTCCAATGCTTCAAGAATCATCTAATTTAGAGATCGGTGGACGGAGATATGGTCGAAATACCATAGACTGGTCAATTCTGGGCTTCAGCTTTCGACCATCCAGATAAGTTTCTGTGTTTTGACTTTTTGACCAAGAAAACGACTGAATTGGACTTTGATGTCTTCATACCAAATGTAGATATATCTCTTAACTTCAAAATGGTACCAAGATCACCTCGATCCGATCATTGTAACTCGAGATATAGCCGAAATACCAAGATATGTCGAAACTGTCTTTACTTGAATTCCCTCAATTGAATGTTTTGTACTTCATAGCTTCTTTAAACCACTTCAATTCATCAATTATCATCCAATTTTCTTCTCAATTCACTCCAACTGATGATTGAGTCCTTAAACCTACAAAAACATGAAGTTCTTTCCGTTAAAATCTATATAAGTGAAATTTTTGTCAATCAAACCACAACATAGATATCTTGACCAAAACCCTAGTTAATTAACTATAAAACTAGATAAAACACACCAAAAATAACTAATAAAACATACTAAAAATACGTAAAATATCCACTTATCAGCGAATGATAAGAGTTTATTTTATGTATTTTTAAGTACATTTTATTAGTTAATTTTGGTTTGATTATTCAATTTTATAACTAAAATAACTAGGTTTTGGTAAAAATATACAACTTTTGTAAAAGTGGCTAATATGGCATTTCTATTGATTTTAATGATAAAAACTTCATTTTCTTGCAGGTTAATGATCCAATCACCAAAGGATGTCAAATAAGGTGAAAAGTAGATAATTGGTGATGAATTCAAGTGGTAAAAAAGAGAAATGAAGTGAAAAATGTTTAAGTAAAGAAGTGCGGTTCAAGACAGTTTTGACACTCTTCGGTATTTCGACTATATCTGGAGCTACACTTATCGGATTGAGATGATCTTTAAACCATTTTAAAGCTAAGAAAGAGACCTACAATTGTTATGAAGACATCGAAATCCAATTCTACTGTTTTCATGGACAAAAAGTCGGAATACAGAAGCTGCATTCTGTGGTCGAAAATCGAAATAGGGGTTTGACCAGGTGATAGTATTTCGATCATATCTCAGGCTACAAAGCTCCGATTTGGATGATTCTTAAAGCATTGTAAAGCTAACTCAAAGGAATACAACTTTTGTGTTTGCACAAAAGTTAGTTCGGCCTTCATCACAGAGAAAATCGCAGTTGAAGCAAGGCCAAGTTGAAAACGCGAGTTGATGCCGCGTTTTGTGTAGTCGCGTTTTGTAGCAGAAAAGGTGCAAATTGCTCAGCTATTTCTCTTGTATTCATACTACTTTCCAGCCATAAGCTGCAAGGGAATTCGGTGCACATGCTTCAGAAGACAAAAGGACAAGAAATGTGGCTTATTTTCTAGTCAAAAACATTGGTTATTGACTATCCTAACAAAGTTGGGATTTGGGAATCAAAAGGTGGAATTTGACTTGGAAAAATGGAGCTCTTGAGCAGTTTTTATGTAGAGACATTGGGAGAGGTCTGGACATCCCATACGTAGCTAGATTT